CATTATATGGAATTTTAGAAAGATCAAAGGAAAAATGCATAATCGAATGAGAGAAAGAAAAGACACAATGGATTGGTATTACTGGTTATTGCTTATGATAAACAACAGAAGATGAAGGTATAAACGAAAAAGATAGTCGAAAAACTAAGGGATTGAAAAGTAAGTTTCTGATGATGACAAGAAAGAATAAGTCAGGGAAGAACAAGAACATTAGAAGATATGTTCCTATTAAGATGTGCAGTGAAAATTCGAGGACGAATTTCTTATAAGGAGGGGATTTGTAACATCCTCAATACCGGGTTAGGATCAAATTGTAAGTTTCATAATTTGATGACTAAAATAGAAGAATGAAATAGCTCTATGATTATTAGATGCATATGATGAAGGTTATTTTGTAATGTTAAAGGAAATAAAGGGTAAAATGGTCATTTGATCATTTAAGGAATTATATACACGTGGGAAGAGAGCTATCTGGAAGCTTTCTTCTTCTTGCCTCTCTTCTTCACGTGGGGCTAGCTTCAAAAGGTAAGTTCTTTGTTTGTAAATGAATTGTTGATTTTAAGGTTGGGTTTTGATTATTAGATGATAACTAAGCTTAAGGAAAGCTTAAATCATCTTAAAAACAAATGATGGAGAGGTTAAGAGAGATTAAAGATTGGAGTTTTATATGAAATTTTGGAAAGGAATTGATAAGTAGAATTTGAAGTTAAATTTGACTTGTCATGGTTAAATTAAGAGATTTGGAGTGTTAGAATTGGAATTAGAACACATTGAAAATTTGGTATGATTTTGAATCTCATATGGAAGATAGGATTTTGAGGTTTAAGATGAAATAAATGAATATAGATTGATTTAAGTATGTATACTAGAGTTAAGAATGAAAAGGGGATGATATATGAAGGTTTGAGTGGAAATGAAGTAATTTCGGGTTGAATAATAATAGTTGGGTGACTAAACTGAACTTAAATGATAGTTAGATGATTATATGTAATTTACCCTAACATTAATAATAAATGATTCCAAACTTAAAAAGAATAGTTGTTTAAGTGGGAAGGAATGCGTATAATAAAGCGGAACTATTAGTTGACTTCCTAACTATAAATAAATAAATCAACTATCGGTTATCAGTCCATTCCTTAATCATTAAAAAAAATTATTTGTTCGTGATCACCCCATAATCAATGTGATGCTCAAAGTTAGATTTATTCGTATCGATCAAATTTAGGGTGTCACAAAATTAATAGTAGATTTATCTATTTCATATAAATAATAGAGTAATTGTGTATCATTGAACTTAAAAAATTTAATCATGGATTTTAATCATCGATACCTACTTAAACTTCGGGCTTTTAGAGATCATCGTCACTTCGAATCACAAATTATTGAAACTCAAATCGATTTCAATTAATTTTTCAATCAAATCAATTTTTTACGCCCCTAAATGTAGTGAGGTTCCATATAAATTCATATGGGTCTCTCCATTCCATCTTATACAGGTATTGTCGAGTTAGGGCATGGGTTGTCATGCTTACTTATACGAATAGAAGCAAACGATGAATATAATAAATGTTTCGATTTTTCGATTTTTTCAATTTTTCAAATACTTATATTAATTGTGTCAAATATATTCAGATGTTTATATTAAACATGTATTCATTTTTTATTAATCTGAGGTGAGTATAAGTAATATTTGTTCCCTGATTCAATTTGATATTGAACATTTATACTCCTGGACATGTATTATTTTTTACCCCTACACTTAAGTTTGAGTAACATATCAACCTAATTGAATGATATCAATAGTTTGAGAATTCAATTAAAATAGTATAAACCCTTCTATGTTACTCAAATTTAGTGTAGGGTAAAAAATGAATACATGTTAATAAATATCAATAGTTTAAATATTTAAATTCAAGTCGAACGATATGAGATCAACATTTAAACATATATATAAAAAGGAATGTTGTTTTCTCTAGAGATTCTGAGTTTGAGCAATTACTTTGCAGGATGTCGTCATTGTCAATACTTTAAGAAAATTTTGATTAAATAGATACTACATGTAATCATCACCGACTATTAAAAAAACAACTATCAATTGCATGATAATTTGATTTTTTTGTAATAAAAAATAAAATAATTTTATCAAATTTTAATGACACAATCTATTCTTAAAATGTTAGATTAAAATAAAACTTGTAATATGTAAATATAATGAGAATTTGATTCATGCATTTGAATAAGTTGTATGACAGATTTAAACCGACATTTACAGGTCAAACAAACAAGTAGTTAGATTGACGTACGAATTTGATTAAAACGATATTGACATTTAAAGGACTCATTTGAAATGCTTTGAAGTATGAAGACCATATGAAGTCTACGATAGTTTGGGGACACACTGGCGAATTAACTCTTTTATCCCTTAAATTACTTATTATACTTTCAATCCCTCAACTAATAAACTCGAATTTTGAATCAGTTGGCAATGTAACTCTAAAACTGTCGAACCGTTATTCACACTTATTGCGCTGCGGTTTGCTGAAGCAATAACATACCGGAAGTGTTGGTTTGGATTAATTTAGGGAATAAATCATATTAATATAGATATTTCGTACGAATCAACGACTTTAACGATTAAGGGAATTATTGTTTTCTTGAGATCGGGTTTGAGTATTATATCAGGGTATGAACGTTATGTGAGAAAGTTGAGAGACTTGAACAAATACTATTGGATTCACCCCTATTTATAAAAAAAAATTATATTTCAGCACGAACCAAACAATCTTAATGATTAAGTGATTTGTTGTTATTTCTTAAGGTACCAAGTTCGAGCAGCGTATGCAAGGATGAGCGTTCATTGTCAAATTATTGAGAGTCTTTGAACATATATTACCATGTATTCACCTCAATTTATAAAAAAAAAACGATATTTCAATTTTCTATGTTTCGGTTTAGATTGAATTATTTAATTTTAGATATTATTTATGATATAAATTATAGATTTAATATAAATTAAATAAAAACTTTTTTATTTGAATGGTCTGAATAATTCATATTTGACTGGTCTGAATAATTCAAAAATTTAATATGTAATTAATAATCTGAATTTAATAAAAATCAAATATTACAATCCAAATTCATTTCGTATATTTGTTTGAGCAGCACCTTCAACTATGCTCAAAAGTGAATAAAATATGAGATAAAATAGATTAAAAAATCACTCAATTATATTAAAAATAATTTTTGATTAATGGATTTTTTAAATATTATTAAAATTAAATTTTTTAAATAATTATAAAATAATTATTAATTTTATAAAATAATGATCAAAATAAAAGCTAATTGCATCACATGTCCTCCAAGTATTACTCTCATTTTAAATTGGTACCTAAACTTTTAATATTTCAATTTCATCCCTAAACTATGACTATAATTCTAAATTAGTCCTCAAACTTTTAACATTTCAATTTATTCCTCAAACTATGCCTTTATTCTAAATTGATCCCAAATTTTAAACATTTCAATTTTTTCTCAAACTATACTATATACTAATCACGTCTCTTGTTAATAAAATCATTAGACCGAGTTATATATATATGTTTGAAAAAAATTAGGTTAAATTATGGTTGCAACTAATTACATATTAGGATGAATTTGATGATGGAATTGGAAGATTCAAAAGTCTCGGGACTAACTTAAAAAGAAGGTCATAGTTTAGGGATGAAACTAGATTGTTTAAAGTTTAAGGACTAATTAATAGAATGAGAGTCACAGTGATGAAATTAAATATTATAAAATTTAATGACTAATTTAAAATGACATTTATAGTTTAAACATATATGATGTAATTAACTCTTAAAATTATCAAAAAAATGTTATTATTCATAATGTTGTAGACATGGATGAACTGGCGGAACTGGTCCATGAAAAATTAAAATGATCATATATATATATATATATTTAATATATTTTCTATTGAAAATCTTTTTTTTCTTTGAAAATTATACGAACGTCCCTAATCGTAGATGAGTTATTTTGTAACAAAAAAATTAAACTATTTAGGTCGGGATTTGTTAATCTTGCACTACTTCTTGTTAATTCACCGAAGATGAAACCTAAACCCAACTAAACTAAACAACAGAACCAATCGAAAAAAACATTAAACTTACACTTTTGCACGTCTCTCCCAACGTGCTCCCAACAAACTAACGATTTTTCTTACGTACAAATTTGTACCCACTCCCCACCACACCATCTACTAGCATGTCCAAACCACCCCACCACCACCTTTGCCACCTCCGTGTTAGTGTTTTTCAGATTAACAATGGGAGGAGATCATCGTAGGAGGCCATCATTAATGCCTCTAAATAATTGTATCTCCTCCCTTTCTTTGCTCTTCATTTCCCTTTACCTTCTCACATCAAACCATGCTTATGCTGTTTCAGCCCTTCTTCATCACCATCTGCTTCGTATGAGCCGTTTGATAATATCTTATCGATTGTGGGTCTTCCATGGAAACAAAGCTGGATGATGGACGGGTGTTCATGTCGGATTCTGAATCCACCACTTACTTATCCACTAAACAAGATATCCTAGCGTCGGTTGATTCCATTCGCAGCAGTGTCTTCCCGATCCCACCTTTTCTTCAATGGCGGATTTATACAAAACCGCGAGGGTTTTCAATGGTGTCTCAAAATATACGTTTCCATCTCGAAACCAGGCAAACATTGGGTTCGTCTTTACTTTTACCCTCTTCATCACCCTCTCTACGATCTTAAAACCGCGGTTTTCACTGTCCATACCCAGAAGTTCGTCCTTTTACATGATTTCTCTGTAGGTGATGATTCTAAGGTGGAAAAGGGTTCATGCGCGTTTGTTAACGCCATCGAGATCGCGGCTGTTCCCGATGAAGTTTTCTCTGATTCTGCACTGATGGTTCCGCAAGGTGGCACTGTGAATGGCTTGTGGAATTATGTTTGGAAGTTTCGTATCGGTTGAATATGGGGACCAACGTTGAGTCCAAAAACGATACATTGGCGAGGACATGGCTGCCTGATGAGCCATACAATGTGTTTCCACAAGGAGCTCAAGCTGTGAAAGTTTCTTATATCAGGCTTGATAAACGGATTACTCGGTTCATTGCTCCTGATTTAGTTTACGAAACCGCGAAAAGGATGACACCCGAGGCGTATCAGACGATGGAGCCGAATTTCAATCTCACTTGGACAGTGAAAGTCGATGCAGGATACTCGTATCTCATAAGGATGCACTTTGTGACATTGTAAGCAAGTCCCCCAATGACTTGTACTTCATGTGTATATAAACAGCTTTATGGTGGTTTCGAGTCTCGATCTCACTGCCGCAGCTGGTGGCTTGGCCACTCCGTATTACATGGATTTCGTGCTCAAGCGTCGGTCATCACGAACAATTCCATCCTGGTTCAAGTCGGTCCATCCTCGAATGGTGGCCTACCTGATGCAATCCTCAATGGCTTGGAGATCATGAAGCTGAGCAACTTTGCTGGTAGTTGGATGGTTTGTATGCTGTTGATGGCTCATACAAGGGGAAACCTATGAAACTCAAAGTGGTTGCAATTTCAGGGCTCTGTATGGCCTTCTTCGCCATGTTCTTCCTCGGAATTGTTTGTATCCGGTGGAGAAAACGGCCTTGCAATTGGCAAAAACAGAAGAGCTTCTCGTCGTGGCTTTTACCGGTCCATGGAGGGAGTTCGAATTTCTTGAGCATATCCCGGAAAACGAGCATCTTTGGCTCAAGGAAAAGTAAGAGTGGACACTCAAGTTTGTACTCTACTCAGGGTCTTGGCAGGTCCTTCACTTTAGCTGAGCTACGAACCGCGACACATAATTTGATGAAAAGACGGTGGTTGGTGTCGGTGGTTCGGGAAAGTGTCCTTGGACCCTAGAAGACGGAACCAAGGTCGCAATAAAACGAGGAAACCAGGGATCCGAACAAGGCATAGACGAATTCAATACCGAAATACAAATGCTTTCAAAGCTTAGGCATCGCCATCTCGTGTCACTTATAGGATTTTGTGACGAGGAATCGGAGATGATCCTGGTTTACGAGTACATGGCCAATGGTCCGCTCCGCGACCATCTCTATGGTTCGAATGACAAACCGACTCTGTCCTGGAAACAAAGGCTCGATATCTGCATTGGTGCAGCGCGAGGATTGCATTATCTCCACACGGTGCAGCACAAGGGATCATCCACCGCGACGTAAAGACAACAAATATTCTTCTAGATAACTTTGTAGCCAAAGTATCTGATTCGGGCTCTCAAAGCTGCTGCAATGGAGCAAGGCTATGTCAGCACTGCAGTGAAGGGTAGCTTCGGGTACCTCGATCCAGAATACTTCAGAAGACAACAACTAACAGATAAATCAGACGTTTACTCGTTGGTGTGGTGCTTTTCGAGGTTTTATCGGCAAGGCCAGTGATATGCCCCGGGCTTCCGAGGGACCAAGTTAGTTTAGCCGAATGGGCAATGCAGTGGCATAGAAAAGGGATGATTGAGAACATCGTGGACCCCAAGATTGCAGGGAGTATCAATGAAGAATCATTGAAAAAGTTGCAGAAGCTGCAGAGAAATGCTTGGCTGAATAGGAGCTGACAGGCCAAGCATGGGGGATGTGTTGTGGAACTTGGAATCTTCATTGCAACTTCAAGAAGCTTCTTCAAAGATGATGAATCATTAGAAAGAAAACGAGGTATAGATCCCGACGCCATTGCCAACCTTCTTTCTGGAATTGATGATGATTCTGAGGTGAATGTTGCCTCTCACTTGAATTTTCCAAATGTGGGAAATATCCAAGCAAGGTAAATCATGGGGTTTCTTCTTCCTTTTTGTGCGCATTCATTCACCTGTATTGCTTTGTAAAATGTTACAGCCTTGTTTCATGGTTAATGAAAAAAAACACTGTACTGCTTATGTTTCTGTAATTCATGAAAATTGTTAAATAATTAAGATAGAATTTTCGACTGTCTTACAGAGTTTACATATATTTACAAGTCTAGTCTACTATAAAGAAATTTCATGGCACCCAATGCTTTTCGTTTCATTGATAAAAGTACCATAGGGTTACATTCTTCGTTCATTGAGTATCGTCTTCAGGAGAAGAATCCCTCGATACCTGCTTATAGTCTTCTTTCTCGTCATAGTAATCGACACAAGAAGGTTCGCCGTTTAAGATCAACAGTTACACCATTTGGTTTCCTCACAAACTGTCCCCTCAAGCGCGGCCTCCTTTCGGCTAGCTTTTTCTGTTTAGTATAGAATCTTCTTATCGAAACAGCGCTCTTTCCTTTTCTGCCGAAATTTGATTAATGCTGCCTCTCTTCTGTCAACCTTACTTGGTTTCACTTCACCGGGAGATGAATTTCCAACAGATGGCCATGAATGACCTGTCAGCATTGGACCAGGTTGCATGCACATGTTAACAGGGTAGTACGGAAACGATGCCATACCACTAACATGCGAATGGGAATGACAATGTTGAAGGTGATTATATTGAGGTACCACACCGGAACTAGCATGGTTTTGGAGTTCAAGGAGGTTGTTCTGAAACAACATGGCCGATGGCGGCATCATAACTTGATTCATAGCTCCCGACATATAGTATGAAAATGCACTTTGTGTTGGTAAACCAGATACATCATGTCGAGGTTTGTTTCTTGGCGGCACAAGTTCCTGAAGGAACTTGTCTTCCCCAAAATTCTTATGTTGTGAGAACTCCATCGACGCAGGAGCAGAAGACCTTTCTAACGAAAGTGAATCCGGTACACTACTGCTGCTTGGAAAGTCGTCGCCTTGAGAACAGTTTTCCCACTTCACCGTTCTCATGTACTTGGGTATCATTAACCACTTGATGACGTATTGCGGAAGATTCTCTTCAAGGATCTTAATTTGTGCAGCATTTTCGTCATTAGGGGTCGACGCTGGAGCGCTGCTTTTACGTTGGTGATTTTACGTAAGTAAAAAAGGCAGATGACACCAATCTTTAGTTCACTCTTCTTTGGACCATGCAAGTAGCCTGCTCAAAATATCACCAACATTAGGACATGTACTGATAAGAGAATCAGTTAATGCAAAAGTTCGGAAACCAGAAAAAGAATCACAGCCATGGTTTCTCGGTATTCCAGTGTTAGCATGATAACTAATGCTTGCATTATAATGAATAATAGATGAAGAAAGATACTGATTTTGACACATCGTCTGACTCGTTTAATAGTACAACAAAGCAATATCCCATGCAATAAAAAATGAAACTTATACTGAAGACTAATGTTTTCCAAAGAATCCGAAAATAGAAGGCAAAATTATATCACTCTATTCCTTAAATATCCCATGCATTAATAGAAAATAATCTCAAATGATATCCAATATTTTCTAGGCAAGGAACAGTATAAGAGCAGTCCACCTGTTCTCCGGTCACTTATTCCTGGAACACGAGGACGACATTCAACTGAATCATTCTGAGGAGGCTGCACAGTAGCAGCAGCGAACTGAAAGAAAAAAAACACATATATGAACACAACCATAAATTTCACTCTTTACGCCATTGATTTTCCATATATTCATAAAACCAAGTAAAGATCATGAAATTACAGCATGCATCCACAGCTGCAGATTATTCTCATTCATAGACAACTTTCGTAACATGCCTAAAGTGCATATTTATAACCTATCCTATACAACATCACAATGGCTGCAAAACTAACTGGATAATTGGTTCCGCAGATAACAGATTCCTGTTCAGGAGTCTATAAATACCTACTATAAAATCTCATCACAGGAAGCAACACAAATCAACTTCAACCATATAAACAGGAAGACAATAACAATAGATAAATACACTTAAATCGCATATATTATGACCAGGAGTCATTTCATAAAGTAAAAGTTAATGATCTCATTATCCACATTCGAACATGGTTTTCCCTAATTTTAAATGTACACAAATACGTATTTGGTTATCTGAGTTCAATACTCACTTCATCTTCCAGATGGATTGGAGCTCGCATCTCTGGATTGGTGGCCTTCCGGGACTTGTCCGCTGTGTCATCCGAGAACAAAGTAGTACTGTTTGTATTAGCATCACCAGGGTCTGATGCCAGAACAAAGTAGTCCTGTTTGTATTAGCATCACCAGGGTCTGATGTTAGTCCAGGTAGCTTTCCATATATCGAACCCCACGGAAATAGATTCCATGCATTCAGGTCCTCTACCAATATTATTAGCTCCCGAGGAATAGGTTGTCTGGCCTCTCTGCCTAAAAAGCCGGCATACACAAGTAGTAGAAGGCATACTCGGACAACATCGACGTCATCCATCCGAGTGAAACCAGCTTTCTTATTAAACAATTTCTTCAGGTCGTCGACGTGTAGGTTCGGCTTCTCCATTGACTCATCCGGAAAAACCCGGGTAACCATGATGGGCGGGCGATATGACGAGTGTACGGCCTACATCATCGTGTCCGAATCGTAGACCAGTGATTAAGCAGAACTCCTTCCGCCCAAAACAAGTATACGCTGGTGGAAAATGAAACCATATCTCTTCTCACCACGTTGTATACTGTCGGGTAGATTTGATGTCATGGTCTGAAGCCACAAATGGGTCAAATTAGCATCTCCACCCGGATGTTGTACTCTCAGCCATGGCCCGAAGCAGGTTTCCTCAAACAATTGTCTTTGTGCAGGTGAAAGCTTCGAAGCAATTGTAGTGGCTAGGCTAACTTTATTCCTTAATGTCAATGAAGCCGAAAAAAATTTCTACAAAAACAATAAACATACCAAGTTAGATATACCAAAAACTACACTGTGAAGATATACCAAAAATAATAAACATAAAAAGTAGTAGTTTATTCTTGAAACTAAAATTTGCAACACTGTTTGTCTTTTGGTTGAAATGAAAATCGCAACGAGAGAATGACTGTCGCAACGAGAGAAATGAAAATCGCAACGAGAGAATCGCAACGCGAAATGAAAATCGCAACGAGAGAATCGCAACGCGAAACCAAAATCGCAATATTTTCATTTTTCTCGTTGCAGATAGTCATTTTCACGTTGCGATTTTCATTTATCTCGTTGCGACTCTTCTGCAAATTGAAACTTGAATGGATTGCATTACTTCAACCAAAAGACAGAACAAAGACAAAGACAATACTAACTTGAAAATCGCAACGAGAGAATAGCAACGCGAAATGAAAATCGCAACAAGAGAATCGTAACGCGAAATGAAATCTAAGTGAAATGGTTAATCTATTATTGAAATGACCAGTAAACTTATCATCAGTTTCAATATGAAAAACCTACAATAATGCAAAAATTTCAAAATAAAAATAATTAAAAAAACTAACCCTCGGAGGTTGATTTTCCATTTCTGAATATTGTGAGGGATTTCTGACCGTGAATGGTTGTGAGGGATTTCGCCGGAGATGGGGACGGAAATCTTCGGAGATGGGGACAGATTTCGCCGTAGAGAGTGAGAGATGGAGATGGGACTGAGTTGTGATTTTAGGTTTTAGGTTATGAGTTGCGATTACGGGATTTTGTCTTAATATTCGTTTTTGTAATTTGAAAATAAAATACGCGTAGCGATTATAATGGCGCTTTAAAAATCGCGTTGCGATTTACGGATACGCGTTGCGATTTTACGTATTGTCGTTGCGATTTACGGATACGCGTTGCGATATACGGATACGCATTGCGATTTACGGATACGCGTTGCGATTTACGGATACACGTTGCGATTTACGGATACGCGTTGCGATTTATGTGTTCGCGTTGCGATTCTGTAAAATCGCAATGCGAATTTGTACTATCGCATTGCGATTTTCAAGAATCGCGTTGTGATTTTGGAAACTGATTTGCGATTCTGGGGATCGCGTTGCGATTTTTATTTCGCGTTGCGATTTTGTTGGTCATTTTGGCAAATCCAAAAAAAGTTGGTTAAAATCGTATATTATAAGGCATTTTTGGTCACTAAGGCGATTTTCTCTTCTGATAAAAGGAAAGTGTTGTTTTCTCCTGATAAAGTAAATGTTTAATATTTAAATTATTATTTTTATTTTGTTTTCGTATTTACATTTATATTTTATAGGTTATACTTAATATTTATTTTATGTCTCATTTTAATATCGTCATTAAAAGTTAAAAAAAAATCTGTTGACATAGTATTTTTTTATTTTCTAATGAGATATAGTATTTATTTTAGGTATTTTTCT